TTATTTTTATTTTTATTATTATTTTTTTTTTTATTTGGTGGTGCATGAACTTTGAGTGCTGAATATGTAAAGTAATGTCACGATTGTGATTATTGAGACTAGTCATATGGGAACTTGGTATTGGTTATAATGATTTGAGACTTATGACCATATATATTGTGTATCTAACAAGTGTTCTGTGCATGTATAACAAGTGTTTTATGAACATATGAGAACTATGGGCCAAATTTGTAAATTATATAAAATATGTAACAAGTATTTTTTTTTTAATATTTTTCATACATATATATTGTGTATATTCAACCAAAAGTAGTATAAGATAATCAATAAAAAACACTTAATTGATATCTATTAATGGTTTCAAAAACATTTAATTTATATACGATCATAGTTGACTTTATATATCTACAAGAAATGTCAATTTTAACTAGACATTTACCTAGATCTTTGTAGGTAAAGTGCTTGCTGGTAAATTTTTGTCTAGCTATTTTATAGGTAAACGGATTTAGCTAGAAATTTTTGTCTAGTTAAAATTGACATTTCTTGTAGTGATATCAACACGTTGCAATTTATAAAACAACACATTGCACTTTATAAATCTCACGTTGCACTTTATCGTCACGTTCTACGTTTAGCTTCAACAGCTCCGGCCAATATACCACACAACATAAATATAAAAAACGGGTATACATAATACTTTAACATCAATAACATATTCTATCAACACAAAGCACAAGATTGCAAACATCAAAATTATTATTGTATTTTACTTTATATATCAATACGTTGCACTTTATAAAATAACACGTTGCACTTTATAGCACAAAACATTGCACTTTCTTATGATTATCATATTACACACACTATATATTGAACCAACCAACCTCAACATTTTTCAACAAAAACATAGAATAAAAGTACTAAATAAAAATATTATCATATTGAATGAAATTTTTAATATGGATTACAAATTATTTTGATTATTTAAGACATTTCAGTTAACCGAACCAAATGATTATGTTAATTTTTAAATTGATTTGGGACAAAAATTCGATTGGTTCGGTCTTTACAATACGTACAAACCGACACTATGCACCATAGTATTGGACGAATTGCACCTTAATAACTGTTAGATTGCACATTATATTTTATTTACATACATACTAATGTTTTAATCGACAATTAATATAGATTATAGAATAAAAAATATTAAAAAGATAATCATTTTTTATAATAAATAATATGCCGGTTATGTTGGTTATTTATGTTAACCGACCCGTCAAACCGATTATGTTCAATTTTTTCAGTTCGAAAATTTATAGTTCAATTTGACTTTTTTTTTTTTACTTTTAAAGCATTTATCTATAAAAAAAAAAATTGTGCAATTCAATTATTGAAAAAATGACGTATTTATCGAAATTTTGATTTCGAATTTTTTTATAAAATGACTGAAATAACCGAACGAACAATATATATATTATTATAAAAATATAATACTTCTTTTGAGAAAACTATAAATATAAAATATTAAACAATAATATTAAAATACAAAATATGTTTTTGTAATAAAAATTATAATTTACTTCAGTTATTTTGGTAACTAGGTTAACCGACCGGTCTGAGAGTTTAACCGAACCAAATGATGATCAATATTGTGTATTATACAATGCGTTAATAAATTATGTAATTTTTTTTTTTTATTTTATACATACACACATGTATTGTGCTTTTTATTTATCATTGTTGTGCAACGAACTGAGTAGTAGTGTGCAATGATTTGAACAATAATATCTAATTATTAAGTTTTTATTAAATTGCATATTTAATCTATAAATTAAATTGTAATATATATATAAAAAAAAAATCTAAATTTGCCCTTAAGTCCCTTGGACCTATCAAATTGTCAAAAGTAGGCCCAAATTAAAAACCTAAACCTGGTTTTAACTTCCCACCAGACCCCAAAATCTCCAACTTTCAATACCGATAAAATCTCCACGCCACTGAATCACCGCCACCGCCGGCGGAGACGAATTCCGATTGAAGAGGCGCGCATGAAAGGAAAGGGAGCTGAGGAGTTCCAGTGGCGGCGCGTTCTTGAACGTGAAGGAGGCCATATTTTTCCGGCGAATCGCAGGCCATCGGAGGAGATATTATGGCAAGATCCGCCGCCTCCGGCGGAGACGAATTTCATACAAAGAGGCGCACGGGAAGGAAAAGGAGCTGGGGAGCTATTGTGGCCGCGCTCCTGAACGTGAAGGAGGCCAGATTTGTCCGGCGAACCGCAATCCATTGACGTCGGCGGAGATATTATTCAGAGAACCGCCGCTTGATTCATCTATGTCGTCGTCGACTGGTCGGTGGCGGTGGAATTCGCGCTGTGGGCGTCGGATTTGACCGCCGGCAAGATGTGCTCAGTGGCCGTCGACATCAAACGGCGGAAGGCGACGACGTTGCGGCGGTTCCCGGCGACACCAACCCG